AGGTTACTGCAGAAGAATAATGGTGTTTAAAGTAGACGTGGAAAAAAGTTCAAGTGATCAAAAACAGCCATAACATTGCTAGTTAGGTTTGATATAGTATATACATATATACATATTCAGATTGGACACAATAAAATCAATAACACTTTTAATATTGTAATTTATTTTTTTACAGCACAAACTGATGAAATACTGTTTTATCAACCCCCTCCTTGTGGTCACCTAACAACAATTTCAGTTTATTTTTTATTTTTTTATGTCAAACATTTGATATTTAACTGCTGATCAACAATTTGTTTTTTAAAATACATCCTCTCAGACTCTAAGGCCATAAAAAAGTTTTGTTTTTTCCCTTGTATGATTTTGTTTTATTTTTCCAACTATCTAAAATATATTTCTAAATTTAAGCTTTTTTTCCCTTTAAAAACAAACATTTTAAGCCTTTGATTTCTCTGCAGTCTTTCATTAATGCATTACTGTATTTTCAAAATTTGAGATTATCCAAATAAATGTTTGAGATTGTTATAATTTTTGTGTTTTTTTTTTTTTTTCAGAAAAAAGGAGTAGAAGTGATGAGGCCAAAGAACCAGAGGTTACTGAAACCAAAACCACGGAGACGAAGGAGCAAGCAGAAGAAACGAAGGTACTCTCCGTCCATGTCCCGAGGGCTTTGAAAAAGCCCAGAAGTCTGTCTTTGATACCTGTCTATGTAAGAGTCAAAGAACTGAGCTACAAATGTTTGAACCAGTTTAGTTTAGTTATTTATAATTTTTTTATTTGGTCTTTTGTTGTGTTTTATTGTGACTTTTTTAACTTTCTCCCATCATGATGTGTTTTCCACTTCAGGACGATGTTCCAGCAGAACAGTGTGGGTCAGAAGGCTCAGATGATTCAGGCAGTGATGAAGAAGACAGTGATGAAGACAGTGATGAAGACAGTGATGAGTCCAGTGAAGATGAGGAGGATGAAGAGGACCAAGAAGATGAACCACTGTCTTTGGAGTGGCCTGACACACGAAGCAAACAAGCCACCTTCCTCCTCCTGTTGCCCATCATACTCCCTCTGTGGCTCACAGTTCCTGATGTTCGCAACCAGGTAGACAATCAGAGACAGAAATATGTCAGCGGTACATTCTAGAGCCCGGCTGATATGGAAATTTTGGTTATCGCCGATATCGATATTGGGAGGGGCAGACGCAGAGGCGATTCCAGAATCTGCACTTTAGGGGTGATTAGCTTCCAGTACTGACAGCAGCTCTTGGCTTGAACAACACAGTGGCCATTGGCATCAGAAGCATTTGTAATGTGGGGGGGGGGGGGGGGGGCTGGGGGGGGGGGGGGGGGGGGGGGGCACTTTGATGGAGGGGGTCAGTGGGTCCTCCCCCTGCAAGGATCTGGTAGTGGTTTGAACCCCAAAATGCAGGGAGTACTCAGACAACTCAAGTTTAGAGCAAAGAAAAAGTATTTAATGAAAAAATAAACAAAAGGGCTGATGTGGCAGCAAAAACTTACATGAATAATACAAAGTACAAGGTCTCGAAGGGAGACAAAAACCAGGACTTAGTGCAGGACATGAAACAGGAGCCAGGAGTCTTCATGAAGAAATGACCAGACAATAGAGCACACTGACGTAAATACACCAACACTGACGAGACAAATGACAAACAGCTGGGAGGAACAGCAGGTGAAGAAAGCTGGAACTTAATGAGGGAGTAATAACTGACAGACCACATGATGGGAATGATAAGCACAACAGTTACAGCCAAGAGGACAGCTTATGACAGAACGGAAATAAAGACAAGTTAAACACAAAGTAAACAGACAAAAAGGGCAGACTATGACACCCGTAGAAATTTTTGAATAAAGTAAATGTCATTTCCTGCATTCTGGTGTATTTTAATGGGTTGTTAAACATCTACGTTTACCTACATAAGTAAACACATGATTCAATAACTATTTTACAGTTAATCACACAAGAAGAAGTAACCTGACCAACAGCTCTCCTTGTATGAATAGAGCACGCTCCGCTTCTCTCACGCATCCAAACACCCACCCCCCCTCCACCCCTGGTCGATAACTGTATTGCGGTGCACAATACAGATGCACTAGCTAAGATATTATAGACATAGCGCTCCACTTCTCTCAAGCATTCTAACCCCTCTCACTCCCAGCTCCTGCAAGTAAGGGGTGTTTCACTTCAGGACAAATCGTGGTCACTGATTGGTCAGTTTTAATGAGCCTACTGGATTGATTGACAGGTTGCATCAAGGATCCGACTCATGCAAAAAAAAAAAAAAAAAAAAAAATTCAGATTTTACTGGCCCATTGAAGAGTTTCATCATTTATTCCATATTTGTTCCACTTTTATTAAATATTTTGTTTAATCTATGGTTTGGAAACTGAGTTTCCTTACAAAATCATAACGATGGTTTCTTTATTTTTTAGGGGTGCTTGAGCACCCCCAAAAAGAGGCTAAAATTGCCACTGGGCAGGCGGCCACCGATAACGGATGTAACTGGAAATTTTTGAGCTTTGCCCACCCCCAAGAATCTAAGTAAACAGTGAATGGAGCGAGGCTTGTTATCAGACCTAATGCATTTAATTATATTTTATTATTATATGTTGTATTATTATTATTATTATTATTATTATCATAATAATGGGGGCCGAGATGGTGTAGACTGAAGGCAGGGTAGCCAACTCAAGACCCGAAGGCCCTGGGTTCAGTCCCCAGTCATTGCACATCTCGTGGCGTCTCTGAGCAGGACACCCAATCCCCAGTTGCTCCCTGGGCTCTTTCAATAGCAGCCCACTGCTCCACCTGGTGGTGGATGGGTTAAATGCAGAGAGCCAATTTTGCCATTGTATGGGATTATACAATGATGACAACACATAACACATTGTTATTATTATTATTATATATTGGCCTAAAATATTAGCCCTACCTATACATCGGCCGGGCTCTAGAACTTTCCATCATGTTTCACCTTGATTTCTCTTGTGTTTTTTTGCTAGAAATCCAGAAAATTCTTTGCAATCACCTTCCTGGGCTCCATTATGTGGATTGCTGTCTTCTCCTACCTCATGGTGTGGTGGGCTCATCAGGTCAGTCACCGCTCTGATCGGATTTGCTTTCTCAAGTGTTTTGTATCTTCTGCCAACATTAAACTGCTTTTAACTCGTCAGGTGGGAGAGACGATCGGCATCTCAGAGGAGATCATGGGCCTGACAATCTTAGCTGCAGGGACCTCCATCCCTGACCTCATAACCAGTGTGATTGTGGCTCGTAAAGGACTGGGAGACATGGCCGTTTCCAGCTCTGTGGGCAGCAACATTTTTGACATCACAGTGGGGTGAGTCTCTGAAGTCTGACTGGTCATAAACAAAACATAAGCATCTGATCCCACCACTGACTGACGTCCTTTTTCTGTGTCTCTTATTTTACTGCCAGTCTACCGATCCCATGGCTCTTGTACTCGTTCATCCACGGTTTGACTCCTGTAGCCGTCAGCAGTAACGGCCTGTTCTGTGCCATCGTGTTGCTCTTCCTCATGCTCCTCTTTGTCACCATCTCCATCGCAGCCTGCAAATGGAAGATGAACAAAGTGCTGGGTTTCACCATGTTCCTCCTCTACTTCATCTTCCTGGTGCTCAGCGTTATGCTCGAGGATCGCATCATCATCTGCCCTGTTTCCATCTGAAAGTGTCAACTCAAGCACAGCAGACGCTCGCTCTGTCTGCGAGTGTGAAATAGAACATCACGTTAAAAAACAAACATCGTGGTTGAAGTAATTCAAACACAGGTTGCAGGTAACAATGACAATACTCGTAGTGTTGCTCCCTGTAGCAGAATATCTGCAACATTTTGTTCTAACATCAGATTTTATTCAGTCAGGATAAGTGATGAACAATTAGTATCTTGCCTGTCGCAGATAGCTTTTCGCATGACTTCACTTTGAACAGAGTTTATTTCTGGCTGAAGTGAAGCTTGCAGCTCGAGAAGATGCTGAGACCAATGATTTGCAGTTCATATAAAAGTTTTTGTGTTTTGAACTCCACAGCTATTTCAGCAGATTAATTCTGATGTTCCTGCAGGACGTGCATCAGGCTGGAAGGGCTACAGTTTGGTGTGTTAGTTAGTGGTCATCACTAGATGGCACTCTTTCACTTTGTGCTGTTTGCACTGTATGTAGCCCAAAAATAAGAAGACGAGACGTTATATTTCTTATAAGTTCTTTGTTTTAGGCAGTATTTTTTTAGTCAAGGCAAATGTTACAGTATGTTCAGGATCCGTGACCAAACACACCCAAAAAAGTTAATTAAGACTGATGCACACTTTGAACTCAACTGCATTTCTCCAAATTTGAGTCATGCAAAGATCTTTCTACGACAGGTAAGATGTTAATTGTCCGCACCCTATTTACAGAACCTCATATTAAAAAAAAACTGAAGGATTGCGTTAAAATCTCGTGGTTTTTGGCGACTTCTGTTTTCATCATTTAGTTTGCGTTTGCTGCCATTTTTTGGAGGGGAGAGTGACTAGAAATTCAAAGCATTTTATTATTATTATTATTATTTAACTGAGTTGTTTTAAACAATTTTTAAAAATTGTTAATTGCCATTCCGATTTCCATAAAATTCAAAGAGCTTGTTAGATGCCGACATGATGACAGAACACACTTCAGGCTCTTTCATTCCTCCTGGACGTTCTAATTAAACACACAATCTGAAGACCCTCAGGCTTAAATTATGGATGTTAAATTAAATCTGTGCGGCGTGATTAGATCTTTAAAGTTAATAATTAGCTTTTAAACAAAGCTGTTCAAATAACAAATGTAATGATTATTTTCCAAAGAATAAATTTTACTTATATGACATGATTGTATAGAAATTGTCAAATACAACAGGAGTTAAATCACTGTATACTTTGAGAATAACATTTCCTTCTTCTTTTTACTGAAAACTCCCTACAAAATGTAACTGACATCTAGAATGTGCATGTTCTGAACATCATAATTTATCCATGTTAAATTAAATGCAATTAAACAATTTCAACAACTATTTTGTATTTCTACTGCAGAGAAGCTGGAAAAGCTCTTAAAAAAAAACCTTGAAAGCCACAAGATTAACATGTTTATTAACTGAAAGCAAACTATAAATCCAGCCAGAGAATAAATTTATTCTTTTTGTACATAAAAAAAAATCATACAAATTAGTTTCTCTGTTACAAACAATAAATAGCATTTAGGAAACATCGTTGAAATCGACAATTAATGTAAACAGCACATAGACACATAATTTACATTTTGGTCATCAGTGGTTTTCAGACACTTGTGAGGTGATTAAAATGAAAATGTGTTTATTGTGACATTGTTCCAGACACACAGCCTTTAAGGAATCCAGCATTTCGTCTTTAGAAGTGATTGTAAAGTTCCAGCAACAAACACAATAAATACAGATATTTTCCGTCAGTTTATAAAGATAGACGGTGAAGTTTACACTTTGCGTTAACGGGGATTTTGATTGAATTAGGGCAGGTCAGAGCTGTAACATTTAATATTCAAGTGATGTGTTTAAAACAACAGCCTTTAGCAGAATGTGCTAAAACAGTCCCCCATCATTCTGTCTCTCACATGAAACAGTAAACAAGTCTCTGAATATCTAAAAGTGACATCTATTTCATACAGTGAAGACAAAAATCAAACATTTCAAAAAGATTAAGAAAAATACAAGAGCTAAACACTCTGTACAGTTTTCGGGATCCACGACTGTCAGTTAAAAAAAGTGAATAAACCCAAATAAAACTATTTTATTTACTCACTTTTTTTCATCAGATCTGTTGTTTATGATTGGATGTGTTAATAACTGTGAATAAATGATATAGGTAATATTCTTTTATGGTCTGTTTTGCAGTTTTGTTAAGAATGGATGAGCAAATAAACACTGTGCATTTATTGTATAAGAAGTGAGTGAAAATGGCTTATATTTCTATATATATTTATAATTACAGTGACGTTACCAGTTGGTTTAGTGCATTCAAGAATTTCAGCTTTACATAGTGCACAAAAGCAGAAATCGATTTGATTTTGTTAAACTCAACTGAACAATAAATCCTGCAAATACAAATAAAAAACGGGACTTTGTAGCTTTGGCTGCTGAGTAGATAAGTTTTATATCTGAGAACTAGGTGCTCCTCCCGTCAAAGTGCTTTGTAAAAACATATTTAAAAACAAATCATTATTTTACACACCCAACAGTCCAAAAAGGTCTCCAAGACCACCAAAAACCTCAACAATGTGATTTTAGGCTCATTTGTACTCACAGCTTCAACAGGAATAAAGGCATCAACTGTATAACAACTGTACAAACATTTTACTACAGGTTTATTGAAAATATGGTTGATTTTCAATATACTTCTAAACACCAGGCCCGTCCCTTCACACCTCTCAGCTTGAATAGTTCAAGAAACTTGTGGCAGTTGTTTCGCATTTAAGTGTTTTTTCCTCTCTCCGTTGTGCTTAATAAAATCAGCTTCGTGCACAAGTCCAATGAGCCAGTCCTGAGTCAGAAGAGCAGTCCAGCAGCGCATGTTCACAAACTGGGCTCTCCAAAAGTCCCCCGGCACTCCATGACTCCCACTCCCGGGGGCCGGTCACTGTTGTGTGTCAGTTTAACTTGGCTGGAGGTGAGGCGGTCGTAGGCCAACCTGTACTCACGGTCAAACGCATCTGCAAAGAAACAACAGCATTTATGCCAACTATAAAACTAAATGTCTTTAAACAGAAGGAGGGATGCTGTAAGAGATATACAGGTTAAAAAGCTGACATTTTCTTTCAGCAAAGGATATAAGAAACTGTTTTTTAGTTTATTTTGAAGGTAAGGACTGCTCGCAGAATGTGTCTAAAATTAAAATACACGGGAATAGTTTAACACGTAAAAGAAATTAACCCAAATATAATCATTACATTTGGCATTTTTAATGTTCCTCTTCATGATAAAATGAAGTATATTTTACCAAGTTGAGACAAAAGCTACTTTATGAACCATCTGGTGGTGTAATTCACAGAAATGCACTGTATTTTAAAATATTTTTATTTTTTAGCATTATCTTGTGACTATGGAAGCCCATTTCCATCATGAAAGAAAAAAATAAAAGCCCAACAGGACATCATAATTTTGACTTTTAAAGTCATAATTATTAGAATAAAAGTCATAATTTTGTGTTTTAAAGTCATAATTACAAGAATAAAAGTCATAATTATGAGTTTTAAAGTCATAATTATTCATTCAACCTTTATTTAGACAGGACTTTTAAAATCATAATATCAACTTAAAGTCATAATTACAAGAATAAAAGTCATAATTTTGAGTTTTAAAGTCATAATTTTGAGTTTTAAAGTCATAATTACGAGCTTTAAAGTCATAATTATGAGTTTTAAAGTCATAATTATGAGAATAAAAGTCATAATTATGACTTAAAACTCATAATTATGACTTTTATTCTCGAAATTATGACTTTAAAAGTCGAAATTATGACTTTAAAAGTCGAAATTATGACTTCCTGTTGAGTTTTGTTTTCTTTCATGGCGGAAATGGGCCATATATATGACAAATAATTTTTATAAAGTTTTTTTAAGAGCTCATACAAGACACTCTTGTTCAGGTTTGTGCAACTATCTGTTTAGGATAATTCAATTATATTTTTAAACTAATCTAACCCCCCAATAAAGCTTTTTGTTCGAAGTTAAAAAAGACTTCAAATTCAGACGGAGGTATTATTTTTCACGATGGGGGAACATTTGTAACCAAAATGTGCAAAGTGGTAGAAAAGCCTCCAAAATTTTAGAAGACAAAACATGAAATATTTGAGATGTAGTGAAGTAGAAGTTAGAACCTCAGAGCTGAAAACTCTGAGTGCAAACAAGAAAATATGACAAAAAGTAACATTTAAAACAAAATATATTAGTGGGCCCGCTGATGCTCACAGAGGAGCGAGAGGATGTTCATGTGGATGAAATAATTGAAAACTAACCCTGATGGTTACAAACCTAAACAAATATAAAAATAGTGTAAAACATTCATTTAAAAACCTTAAACATCTTCTAAACAAAGCTTTAAGAAATACATAATTTTAAACTTATCATAATTTTTAGTAAAAGTTGAACACTTTAATCAGAAGGATCGACCCAATCGGCCCCAAAGGTTGAACTGAAACCCTGTGAGCTGCTAGGATGACTAAAAATAAGATTTATAAGTTTCAAACTTACTGATATTGATGTTGGTCCTCCCCAAAGCCACGAGAGTTAGAAACAGCAAATCTCTGTAGAGGCTCCTTTATGAGTAAAAGAACACAAAACTTTAAATGTTACACCCATTTCATGGTTGTGTGATCTTTCCTCTCAGCCCCGCCAGCTCTCTCCGCTCACCTCTGTCTCTTGAAGCCCAGCTCGGGTCCCAGCAGCTGGAGGATCTGGCTCATGGGCTGATAGACGTCACTCTTCTTGATGCTCCTCACGAAGCTCTGCAGCAGCTCCACGGTGAAGAGCTGGCCTTCTTCACACAGCCCAGAGCGGATCAGGGAGTTGGCACCTGCAAAGACAGAAGAAGGAAAGTCAGCAGAGGATCATCTGTCTCCATCACTCACAATCAGCTCTGAAGGCAGCAATAAAACCAGCACCTCGAACAGGACGTCTGAGCTGAATTATGCATGATGCTCGGCCTGGGCGAGCAAACGCAGCAATAACTTACAGTGTGCGTTCCACAGGACGTAGCAGGGCTGAAGTTTGTCCTTGTGCAACCTCAGGTTGTCCCACATGGTCCTCACAAGCACCTGCTTGCTGTCCTCAGATGAAACGCTCTGCAGAGGCTAAAGAGAATAAAACTACATGAAGTCCATGGGTTCATCTGCAGAAATACGTGTCGCTTTCATGCACTCTTTTGATTTTGTTTTCTTCTTCTTAACTAACACAAGGTGATGCTAAAGTCACAAACTTCTGAAGATCTTTATTTGTACATAGTAATAATAATTAAAAAAAAACTGCAAAAGGACTTATATGTAATTTGTCCCCCCAAAAAATGAATGTTTAGGCTTTATGCTGGCTCAGGCCTCCCCTGGAAAAGAGATCTGTGATCTCTAAGGGATTTACCTGCTTAATTAAAAAGTTAATAATGATATTGATAATAATAATTTTATTTACATCCAGACCACACAACCTATTTTTCATGACTGTTTTGTCACCATATATGTTTTTGATTCTGAGAATAGATTAATGCATTTTCTAAGCACAATAAATAAAAAAGTACATTAAGACTTTTTAGGCTTCAGATTTACATTTCAGACCTATTGACGCATTAAAAAACAAAACAAAGAATAAATAATAATTGTGGTCTGCGAGTACTTTGAATTTTGACAGATTTTGCCCTCATATCAAAATGTTTGGACACCACTGGTTTAGACATTTACAGAAGAGTTGCTGACAGCTGATACTGGTCCCATACCTGGTCTCTGTGGCCGCAGTGCTGCGAGGCCAGGATCAGAGCCGGCAGGTTGCTGGGAAGCTCCAACCTTCTGAAGTACCACACGAGGTTCCAGAAGACGATGGGGTGTTGGTCGACGACGCTCGGGGAGGAGATAGCCTGGTCGCCCTCGTTCACCAGCAGACTCTCCAGCTCCTTCCACAGAACCAGAGGGCTCAGGTAGGGTATGGTCACTGGATCAGGGACTGGAGCAGGCATGTTGGCGCTCCAGCTGATGTCCTGCTCATGCGATGAAGCTGCAGATGGTGCTACAGACACGCTGTCCTCAGGGCTGAGAGGGGCAGACGTGTCCTCCTCTTTAACAGGATTACTGTTCTTCAAAACCCTGAGGAGAAGCAGAGCGGATTTATTTAAAGAGGCCACAAGGTTAAGGGGTATTTTCTCTCTGTGTGTGTTTGTGTGTGTTTAAAAAAAGAATCACAACTTGATCCAAATGATCAAAAACTGTAAAACAACATTTATGTAATTTAAACGGTAAATAAGATACACCATGGTCTGATCAATCATGTAAAGTGTGTAAAGTACAGTTCTGTACAAGGTGATTAAACCACCTTAGAATTTATTTCTAATGAGCCAGACTTATCTAATATTTTAAAGTAGTTTGATTAATTACACTTTCAAGGCTTTTTGGAAGTATATCAACTTTTTAATTCGGGCTTTGGCTGCTCTTTGCTAATTTACTGTCCAGTCCTTGTACTGAGTGTGAAAGTGGACAAGTGGAGGATAAAAGAGGAACGCGTCAGGCCTAAATAACTATTTACAACAGCTGAGCAACATGCATAACTTTAATAAAATAAAAATGCAACAAAGACCCGACAGGATCTGAAACGACACCATCTTGGAGCTGATAACTGACTTTATGTTGAGTTTATGGCTAATAACTCTTGGTTTGTTAGTGCTAAATTATTATTTAAGTGTCATATTGTCAATTGTCTTTAGTCATTCTTAAAAAGTCAGTTTAAGAAAACAGAGTGAAGTGACTTGAACATGAAACTTTTCTCCCAAAAAAGAACCTAAAACGAGTAAAGAAGCAGCCAAACTCCATATTAAAAAAAAAAAAAAAAAATAGAAAGAATTAAAAAATATGAATCAAGACTATTTTGAAAGATTGCAAAAAAGTCCGTCCACGTAGAGGCAAACTTTATTAAAGAGAAGGATGACACACAACGTTTGCCCAGTATTGTATTCCATTGACACTTTACCTGTGTTGTGGTCTGAGATCTTTGATTTCCACGTTGAGAAACGGCAGGAATGCTGTTCCACAGAAAGGGCAGGTGCTGTTCAGGTTGGAGTCATCTGCTGTCCAGCCTGCCATGATCTCCTCATCGTACACCAGACAGTCGCACGTCTTACAGAGAGAGCAGCTGGACATCAGCACCTGCCATTAAAATCATGCGTTATCGATCCCACTCATCCTGCAGACTTGTTTCCAATGAGCATATATAGATAAATATTTTACCTCTACTGTGTAATTAGGGCTGGGTTGGAAGCGGCTGACATCTGGAGAGGAATCTGGAGTGTGAGGAGCTTTGGAAGGAAGTGCCAAACCACCTGAATACAACGAGGGATCATTTATTCAGACACACGACTAAATACAAAACTGAAAGGGATTACAGTCGTTGAAGCAGCCGTGCACCTGTGTCTCACATTTGATCATGTGCACGTGCATGTGCATGCACGTGTGTATGTTCCTGTGTTTACTATAAAGCCAGCAGCAAGTTGCAGAAAGCCTGCACGTCAAATGAGTCTGTTGGCCTAGTTTCCCACTGAAAAACACCCAATTCTAATGTTTTTTCCTCTCCTCTTACTCTAAATTTAGAAAGTCAAGACCCACTTTTGCTAAAACTGCAATGTTGTAAAGAAGATTAACTTCTCTCCACTTTATTTGCATTAGTGCCACAGGTGCAGACTGGGGAAAAGGAAGTGCAACAAACCAGAGAAGGAGTTGTGTCTGAACACTCTGTTGGGGCTGCTCGGGCTGCTCAGGTTTGTTCGGTGAGCGCCGACGGGGCTTCTCCTGACCCGGGACACGCCGCAGTGCTGAGGGGACGTGAAGCCATGCGGGTCCAGACTGGAGTCGTTATCGTGCAGCGAGGAGCATTCAGCTTCTGCTGACGTCAGGGAGGAAACGCTCATTCGGTCAGAGTTTCCATCCTGGAGAAAACAAAGAGGAACCGAAGAAAATGCATTTCAGTGCTAAGCGCTGAACAATGAAATTTGCTGAAGAAGCTGAAAAGGAGCTTTTCAAGCTAATTTAAACAGAATACTAGCTAAAAGCTCATAGTAGCAGGAGGTAAGCTAAAAGCAAAAAGTAGCATAAAACTCCAAAAAAATAAGAATTATGCTGAAGCATATTTCAAAGAGAACAATGTTTTCTGAAATGAAGAGATCTTCATGCATTTCTATGAGGAAAATGTTTGTAAAGGAGATTAAATATTTTTGAAAAGTATAAAAATGACAAGCACCAGAAGTCCTATCGCTCAATACCTGAATGAGCAGAAGGTTATCATACACGAATGGCTAAAATAGTGCAAAGCATGCAGAAGTAATTAGATTGCAAAAAAAAAAAGAAGCATGAAAACAATTCACTCAAAATTCAACACCATGGAGCCAAATCACAGGCTGAAAACATCGAGCGTCTGACCTGCGTTAACGAAGTCTGGGAGGACAGACGGGAGTAGAGGCGACTCGCCTTCTCTGCCACACCCTTCCCTGCTGATATGACGCTGCTCTTGAAGATGTCCAGAGTTGGGGTCAGCAGCGAGTCCATCGAGAACGACGAGGTGGAGGGGGTAGGCGACGATGGCCAAACCAAGGAGGAAGGCCTCTCCCTGTCTTTGTTACACATCCCCAGAGGGAGGGACGGTGACGTCCTGAGCCTCTCCTTGGCTTTGACAGGGAGTGAGAGGTGTGTACTGGAGCGGGCCAGAGCGGTGGACTGTGGGGACGTGTGAGCAGACGAGGTCGAGCGAAACAACGGGCTCGAAGGGTTCTGTAGGTCCATGCTGGGTGTGCGGCTGCTCAGGGGGCTGCTGTTGTTTATGTAGGTTTCAATCTCCTCAACGAGGTTGCGGCTGGCAGTGGGCGAGCTGTGGATGTCCTTATCACACTCCTTTCCTGTCCCTGTCACCATCTGTGACAAGGGATCAAACCCCATCTCAATACCTGTCCTTACAGTGCTGGTGGTGCAGTGGACACCGCCCTCCACGAGGCGTTTGTGTCTCTCAGCCTCCGTGTCCTCCTCTTCCTCCACTCCGTGTAGTCTGTCGGCTCCAAGCTGATTCGGCCTGGCTGAGCTGAGGAGAGGGACGGGGAGTCTCACACATCCCCGTCCACCAGACAGGTCCAGAGAGTTGGGCCTCTCCACACAAGGAAGATCATCTCTACATGGACTGGAAATGTCTCTGGAGCCAGTGTCTGCGATGAAAACACGTGCCACAGCATTAAGGTCGGAGAGATGAGAGCGGCTTTAATTTAAAATCCCATTTAGACAGTCTCCTTCCTAATAAATCATCATTAGAACGACATCTGGTAGTTCGCAATTCTCTAATGTGATAGTTCTGATATTTTCATTTGGGGTGAAAGGTTGTGAACAATCAATATCTTACATGTTGTTGATATCTCCTTTATTAACCTCAATTTGGAGAAATAAAGCTTAATTCTAACAACTCTCAATTTTTGTCACCACAAAGCTTTTTGCATGAGTCTAACAAAGTTGCGTCAGGTCCTCTGGATGGTTTCTTTTGGTTGAAACGTTTTGTCTTTCATCCAAAAGACTTCATCAGTCCGAGGAGCTGCAACAAACTCAGTCTTATAAATAGCACCTTCACATAGTGGGTCAACCAGTTTGATGGTGCTCAGATGGTTTCTGGAGTCCACTCTCTCCTATGTGCTATTTATAAGACTGAGTTTATTGCAGCTCCTCGGACTGAAGAAGTCTCTTGGATAAAAGACGAAACGTTTCAACAAAAAGAAACCTGGATTATTCAGCATGAATCTGGATACTTTTTGCAAAGAGTTTTGTGTCAAATTGAAAATATAAATTGTGCCAATGGATTTATTTATTTAGCAGTAAAGCCTTTTTGTAACTGTGGTACAAATACCACTGGCAGTAGTTCCCTTTAGCGGTACTCAAAATAATTTTTGGTCAACTATCAGCTAATTTACTACTCAAAGGTGAGCTGTGATGTGAAGCCAGGCGATGTGCAGTGGCTACATACGCAACATCAGACAAGTCTTTCTAGAACAAGAAAATTTAATTCAAAGTATTTTAAAGTTGTGTACAGGTGTTGTAGGTCATAGAAAGGAATCTGATCCTACTGTATGTGGTGCAGTTTAAAACAAAAAATAAATTTAACAATCTCATCTTAAACCACAACAAATAACCAAGATTATATTATTTGCTTTATTTTATGTCTGTAGCAACAAGGCAGTTTTGGGAAAGTGTAATATTTTTCAAGGATGTAATTATTATAAAAAATTTTGAGAAGCACTGTTTCATTGCACAATTGCAAAATTCGAATTCTAACAAAACAGCATTGAAAAAAATCCGACTGTTACATTCACAATTATTTTCCTGTTGCTTGTGCGCTGCTGTTTACACCAACATCACGTTTTGCAGCAGGGAGGGAGAAGTAAAGCTGTGGAGCTTCAGTAGGAGCCAGGCTTCATTTTATAAACCATTGCTTTGAGTCACAAGTCAAAAGTAATACATACTTAACCTTTACCTTGATTTCTGAAGAATAATCACAATGCACAGCAGGATTTCATTAGACTAAGAATGAAGTACTTTCAGGGAAAATAAAAAAATCATAATTAACTGCTTATATAACACGAAGCACATCCACCAAGAAAAACAAAAATCTAATTATACAAGGATGAAGAGAGAGAACACAACACCTACACTGAGATATCATCCCCCAGATTTTAAAGACAACGTGTTCGTGTTGCTGTAAGCTGTGACTCACATCTGCAGAAATGATCACCAAGTGGGAAAAAACAAAAACCAAGTTAAAACACAATCCAGAACTCACTGGGCTGCCTGAGGCCTTTGTCTTCCCTCGGGGTCGAGGCGTCGGTCTCTCTGCTGCACAGCCTCTCCTCCTCTTTGGACAACGAGTCGTAGCCTTGGTCCGACTGTCCACCTGAAGGAAAAAAAGCAACTTAAAATGCATTTGTTGTCTTTTTATTTTTTCTTTGAGGATAAGCTGATTGAAAATTGTGCTACTGGTTGCAAAGATGATTTTCAGGAGCTAATCACAGAGCTTCAAAAGAGCGAGCGAGGTGACACCAACGGGGCAAGCAAAACAGAAAAGTCAGAAAACAGGAAGACAGTGTTTTTTTTTTTTTTTTTAACACCACACCCACAGGGTCAATATGCATGAAAAATACAAAAAAATGTAATTATTTTGCTTATTTTAAAGGCTAACGAGGCAGTTTATGCTAGATTTAGGTCAAATATTGAATAAGTCAAAAAGACAATTTAATTTTGTTTTATTAGTATTTTTAAAAACAGCTATGTAGTTTACACGTAAACAAAACAATTAATAACATTAAAATCACACGTAAAAAAAAAAACAACAAAACACCAGATACAATAAAATAGGCTAAAAAAAACTAAAACAAATGAACACCACAACATAAAAGACTTGATGGGACTCATATTGAACTCAAACTGTGTAAAAACGTGACTTTTCCGGTGGGATTAAAAAGTCTGTAAAGACTCTGCAGTGTGAAGATTAAGGAGCAGGTTGTTCCAGAGTCTGGAGGCTGCCACACCAAAACCCTGAGTCTCTCTGTGCTTTAATTTAGACTCCAGCTGCACTAAGGTCAAGGTCAAGGTGTCTTTATTGTCATTCGCACCACATGTGGTACATGTGGTGGAATGAAATTGTGTACACAGGGTCCCAGTTACATCCAACAAAAATACAAATTGTAAACAAAAACAGTAATAAGATCTAAGATAAAAACTAAGAGCATCAGGCTGGAAGATCTTGGTGGTCCCTAGGGAGTTGTAAACAACAAGAAGTCTGTTTAGATAATGGGGTACCAAGCCATTTATAACTTTAAAATAAAGTTAAAGAATCATAGTCAATAAGAAACAGGCAGCCCAGGAAAATCTGCTCAGACTGGAGTGGTCATGTCTTCTGTACGGCTTAAAAGATGCACAGCAGCATTCTGGACTAACAGACAGTGGCAAGATGTTGTTGTCATAGTGGCAAGATGTTGTTGTCATGGGAATATATTATTTATTGATCTGCTGCCTGATACATTACAATATGTATGCATTATTCTATATTAATCTACTATATTATTATCCTTTATATATATTGTTTCCTGCTTGCTCTCGACGAGGATGGACGCTTTTCCTCCTCCTGCCTCCCTCCTGTTTTGCTATTTGCCTTGGGATTCCTATTGGAGCCTCTCACTAAATATCCTCAGAATTGTAAATTATGGATCTGGTCAGCTGGTCTCTCAACGCAATTGATACATTTTCTCAACGAGAAGACATGGTGAAGGAGAGCCCTCTTGCCCTGAAGGGACACTCGCAGTTGGATACATGATGGATTCCTGGGGGCAGTGGCAGATGGTGTGTCTGTCTGTATTGTCCGTTGAGGACATAGAAGATGCATACATAATTGGGTTTATGATAGATAACTGGATTTCTGCTTTTTGGTGTTGGCAGGTATCTGGCATATCGACAAACTTGGAAGATGGCGGCAGCAGTTCTGGCAATCATGAGGCTGCCTGCTTTGTATGAAGGAATATACCGAGCAGTAACCTCTCAGACTCGGACGCTGCATGAGCTGAGCTGTAAGCTGGATGCCATTACTGAGAATCGCAGGCTACTTGCTGTCAGGATTTTGTGGACAGGAACGAACCCAATGTGCAGACAGGACTCAAACTCGGCAGATTACAAAAATAAGTATTTTAATAATAAATGAAGAACAAAACAAACAGCTGACGTGGCAGCAAAACTTACATGAAGACGGATGGCTCAAAGGGAAACTCAGGGAGGACTCAGGAAAGCTCAGGGGAGACGCAGGAGAACGCAGAGACCCAACGAATACGACCCGACAAAGGAACAACACAGAACAGGAGGCTTATATACAAGGACGAGACCAGACGTGATTACAACAGCAGGTGTGACGAGACAAAGGTGGCAACAATTAAACTGACGAGGAAACACAGACACAAACAGAAACAGCAAAAGGTGCCATCCTTACACTTGCGGCTCCTGGGACTCACTGGTGGGAAGGAATTGACCTTGGAGAAGGCTACAAGCTTGGTCCGGCGGTATCTATGACCATAAAATTTAGCTGTTTGGAATCGCCAGTGAGATGTACCAGCAGAAATATGAAGGCAGACATGGAAATTCAAGCAGAGGCTGCCTGACCCAAAATAACTGTTATCTGAATTTGGCTTCCCCACTCGACCTTGAATTGGCCAACTATCTCAACTTCTCCTGGTTGTTTTTGTGAATGAGAAGCTCCACTCCCCTATCGCTCCCCTCTCGAGGGCATCTGTGGATCTGTGTCAGAGTTGAGCCGGCTGATAGACACTGTACCATCTTTATCAGGACTATGGAACTATTTGGCAGTCTCCTCGGACAACTCACTGCCCTTGTCAGCCTCCTTATGTTAAATGGACTGTACTTATATAGTGCCTTTCTATCTGATCAAAATACTTAAAGCTCTTTACAACACAATCTGTGTCCTCATTTACCCATTCATACAGCACTCTGCTAGATCTCTACAAAGCTAATTGAACAAATCATTCTAAAGTGACTAATCAGTGCTTTAGATCACATTCATACACTGATGGGACACACATCGGAGACAATGAGGGTTCAGTGTCTTGCCCAGGGACACTTCGGAATGTGACTGCTGGTGGATTCGAACCCCCAACTCTTGCATTGGAGGATGACTGCTCTAACCACTCAGCCACAGCCACCCGCACTTATGCATAAATGTATTATGATGTCATCAGTATGTTGCTGTTTATGTGCTGAGGTCATTTTCTTTGCAACTTTCACACTATGTCCCATCTAGGACACAGTGCAAGATTTGATTTTTTTTTTTTACACCTCCACTCCCCCTCGTGTTTCTTTTTCCTTATCTGAAAAAAGGGCTGCGCCTCTCGACGCCGGCAGCCTCAGTCACCTCCGTCTCCCCATGTTTGTTTGTTATGTTTCTTTCAGACGGGCAGTACTGAAATATAATTTTGTTGCGCTTTGGTGCAATGACAAAAAAGCTGATTCTGATAACCCGTTTATATTAATAGGTCATCGTGAACTGTCAGAATGATATTACAATGTTTTAATTTCTGATATTATAATCATTTTTGATGTGACTGTGAGAAAACAGCAAAGAGCTCAGGGTTCATCATCTTGTTTATTTTTGTTATTTTGTGATTTGTTCTCCAGGAATCCTTGACAGATGTTTACCTCCAGCTGCTCCTCTATGTATTGGCTCACAGCTGTGGTTTTGATAACACTGGAGCTGGGACAAGGGAGGGAGGTGAGGAGGATGGAGGAGATTCCCACAAAACAAATGGACTTTGTTTTAGACATTTAGAACCAGATCAGAACCGGGGCAGAGAAAGCATTAGAAGTTCTGTACTTGTAATGTTTTCACTTCCTGTATTCTGTCCGTATCTCCACGAAGCTGTGTGTTAGATCACATCAAGGATCTGTGTATCACCTGCAGGGAAATGTAGTATTTGCCAAAGCTCTGACCCAAGGAAAGCATGTGCAACTTAGATGAATCCTTGAGGAACTCCACAATAAACCATATACCATAAAAGAACCACAGGGGAACCACAGAGGAAGAGAAATGTCCAGGTAAACAGGAAGTGAATCACTGAAGGAAAGTACCTTGAATCCCAGCCTGGTCTTAAAGGCGTTTTGGGGAAATAAATCATTGTGGTCAACTCTGTCAAAAGCTGCTCTGAGATTTAATCAAATCTAAACTGCACTGTCTAAAGAGTGGAACAGGTCACTACAGACTTAACAAAGTTGATTTTCTACTGGTGTGATGCAAAATATAAGAAAAATGTCAAACAAAATGCTGTCAGATTTCCTTTTCTAAGTTATTTTTATTAGCTGCAAAAAGATAAACATGAAACAAATCTTTATAGTACTGGCACTTAACATTTTAGTTTATTTATTCTGTATGAAATTATAAATTGTTGTCAGCACTTAGTCTTTTTTATTTATTAGACTCTGCTAAATGTGATTTTTGCATTCTTCACTTAGAAATAAATGTAAAATCCAAATATTGACAAAAACAGAATCTGCACGAGGCAACACTAAACTCATGTGTCCAGTGGTTTAAGCAGAGTTAACATAAGAAAAACTTCTGGCTCTTTTTCTTTTGACGGTGATAAATGAAATAAAATCAAAGGGAGGCTGAGACAAGAGGACAATTTATAGGTTGCGGGTAAAACGGCGGGAGCCGTGCTGAGTTTTCATACCTGTACTGAACCCGTCATCACTCGAGTCCATTTTAGTGAAGTCGGTGTCGATGGAGGTGCGCTCGGCAGAGTCATTGGTGCTGTCTAAGCTGCCGTGGCTGGCCGTGTCGAGATCACTGCCGTCTGAAGAGAGAGAGGTGAGAAGCTTAAACCAACGACAAGAATCAAGCAGCATGAACTCACTGGACACCCAAAATAAAGATTTATGTCATGCTTTCAACTAAAATAATAAGTGAATGAGAGAGGAAGGTTTTATTTATTTATTTATTTTTGCACAAAGTGCTTATTTACTGGAGTTAACATGCTTATGTTTCTAGTCCTAGAAATCCCTCTTTCCTAGGATCATCAAATCAAATGTTACGCCGACAAGAACAATGACAGAGTTTGTCATGTAGAGCACGATGTTTCCATTGATCCTCGCACCCCCAAACATGATGTCATGAAGCTAATGAGACTTCTTGACTTGTTGTGGGGAATTAGAGAATGAGTCAACAGTGAAAACCTGTGCACAGGATGCTGCAGAGGAAAAGCCTCTTGATTGTGTTTAATTATTGCCACATTAAGGTGTCATTAAAGAAAGGCAGATGGGGGAACAATGTGAGCTGGAGGAGGACAAACAAGTGCTCCTGCAGGATCTCATTAAAAACAAAGAAGGAAATCAACAAATTCAAATTTTTTTAATCCACTAAATTAGTTTGCAATTTGCAAAGTAATTGCAAGTGAATTTGTACTGAACATCCCGAGGCCCTGTGAGTGTTGACTATAAAGCAAATACAGCTGTGTCATGTTGCAGTCATAAAACATGTCAGACTAAAAATGATAATATGATCACATCAAACCACTGGTGCATTTTTCAAAATATAAAGAAAATGCTCACTGCAAAAACGATAACTTGAACAGAAATGATAACTTCTTATCGCCCGAGGAAACAAGTGATAGAATAAAAATAATAATAATCAGCTGAAATCTTCTTTGAAATGGAACCAGCCTTACATAAAGGAAGGCCCACTGCCCCTGCCTGCCAAAGTCTTGAACAAAACTCATGCAATCTGTAAACACTTGAAGCATAAAGTGAGAATGACTCTCATCTACTGCCACATCAAACTTAATCTGTCTATAAAATATAAAACTCAATTCAATTCAACCTTTATTCATACAGGTTAGTTTCATTGAGCCTCGAGGACTCATTTACAAGAGAGACCTGCAATAAATAACCCGAGTTATTGCCATTTCTGTGTTTTCTAAGGTCAGCTAGCTGCTGCAGCTGTCTTGGATTGCGGTGACTCAGACAACGATTAAGTCTTAATTTGATTAAAATTTGTAAAATCAGTTAACATTTTTCTAGTTTTTGAGATATTTTGCTAACAGACAGACAAATAAACACACTCACAGAGACACAGGCAGTTACATGATCAGGGGTGCACATAATTTTTAGTGGGCTCCTCAAGTGAGTACCAGGAGATGGTGTTTGCAGCTATGCCTTAATAAGTGCCACCGTCCTCACTGTCCTCCTCAGTGTCACTCCCACTATCCTCTACTTCAGCTTCCTGCATGGTAGATGCTGCAGATGCTGCAGATGCTGCAGATGCTGCAGATGTACCTCCTTGTCCTTGCTATATTTTTCTCTTGCATTATTCTGTAAAACCCCCTATTTTGTGAAATGTAGTTATGACGCCCTTCACTAGTTTGTATTTGTATCTTGTTGCTTTGTTCTGTTTTGTGTTGTTAATAAAGTTATAGAAAAAAACTGATGGGCTGCATCTGCAGGGAAGGGGCGTTTACCTTCAGGACAAATTGAGGTCATCGATTGGTCAGTTACTGACACGCCTACTGGATTGATTTGTTGCAAATCCAACTCGTGCAAAAAAAAAAAAACACTGCCGCCACCCGCCGGCCCTGGGTGGAGGTGGGGCGACCCAGGTGGGGCGACCCAGGTGGGGCGACCCAGGTGGGGCGGCCCAGGTGCAGCGGTAGCGGTGTTCTGAGTTTTATTGTTGTTAATTAAAAGTAAAAAAAAAGTAAATAAATAAAAACAGCCCACACTTCAGACCTGCCCACTGGGAAATCTCTAGACCCTCCTGATAACTTGACGGTCAAGTACGCAAAGGCGTGTGGTAACACAGGTGATGCTATGCATTCCTGATTTTTGTTGCGCATGCGTACCAGTTATGTGCACCCCTGTACATGATTGCCCTTCTTTATGGTGCCAGGCGATAATTAGAAATGCTCCGATATTTATCGAATGCGGTTTATAAGAAGTTGTTTTAAGTTTTGTTAAAGTCTCACCTGAAAGCTGCGTATCTGTGTGTGGAGTCGGCTGCTTCCTCCCTGCTTGCTTGAACTGGAGGACACCGAGGATCACGTTCCTCAGTTTCCCCCACAGAAAGTAGCCTCCTCTGGTGGTGGAGGGCCACGTGCTCTCCAACACCGCCTTAAGCGAGACAGCAGCACATCACAATACATTTGAAATAAAAACAATCAAATGTTACATCAGACTCAGCTCACTGTGCTCATAACAACAAAACCCACCTTGTTGTAGTACCCGTATGTTATTGCATTGGGCTGAACTCCTGCCTTCTTCATCTCAAACAGCACCCTGACAGCCAGGACCGGCTGGCTGTACTGACCGCACAGCTGCAGCAGAACACGGTAACACACCTAGGACAGAACAACACCAAGCTCTTTGTTCTACCATTCGTTTCTCTAAATGGTGCAGCATCCTATATGTAAAAATAGCTGTTTCAAACCTCATCTGGAGCCTGCAGCTTCTTGTCTTGCATCTTCCTCAGCACATCATAAGCTGTGCGCAGAGCTCGCACCTTCGAGTGGCAGTTAGTGACAAGTGCCGGCAAGCAGATGAACCACAAGCCGTAGCAGTGGCGAAGCAGACACTTAGACCACATTTGAGGCATAGAAGAATACGTTTTGGCCATTTTCTGAGCTGATTTAATCTCCTACAGAAAGACAGAAAAATTATTTTTGTCATTCAGCAGCCAAATGTGCATTTTACATCCGTCATATTGTCATGTTGGATATTAGAGCAGGCAGACAAGCTTAAATGTATTAATTTGCTATTATTCCATGGGTCTTCAAAAGGAGAAGCATATCTGCAATTCTGCATATAAATATTTCACTAAATGTCGAGTAAATGTCTCTGCTCATATGGTTGACCTGTTTAGAGCGTCTAAAGATGGCTGTAGGGCTGGCTGGGCTGCTGTGGCGTGAAGCAATCCCTGTTGACAGAGGATTTGGTCCTTCCAGTGGATCCAGGAGCTCAGATCTCAGCACAGGGAACCCAGAATAGCTGCAAAATAAAACAGATACTCAACATGGTACCAATTATGCGTTTGCTCTGAAACTCTGGAAACTCGAGTACCAACGTATACCCAAGAGCAATGTGCTCCAGCTTCAAGTGATCAAACAGCTCGGCAGCAGTGACAAAGACTTCAACAATAAAAGGAATTCATGCTAAGCCTCTGCTTTCGATGCTCAAGTGAAGCCAAGCAGAACAAGCAGTTAGCAGCGTATCTGTCTTTTAGAGAGGAGTCTGAGGTGTAATACCTGTAGCACAGAGGGTGTTCTTCTCCCTGAGGAAGAGGAGGCAGCTCTGGAGGGTTGATGTAGACCGTGTGCTCGCTGCGGTGGGACTCGTCCAGCTCAATCAGCCTGGCGTCCTCTGGCCGTTCACTGTCAGTCTAGTTTAGAAGAGAAACCCATATTTGTAACTGTTCTTCATATTTTTGTGCCTTTTAAAAATAAATCCACATGTTTAAAGGACGCACGCAGTGGGATGTAATTTGGTGTGAGCTGTCAGTGTTTGCACGCAGATGTCAGGAATGAAACATCGGCATCAAAATGACGTGACCAATCGAGCCAGTTCTGTTTATCTAAAAAGAACCAACTGAGAGGCTTGAATTCAAAAATCTTTTGAGACTAAGTGAAACTAGACTTAGAGACATGAGTCCTTTTGACTGAGTCTGGGACACTTTGGCAGCACTAGTTGATGCTAAACGGACACATTAGTTTCAGTTTATACTTGACTGAATTGCTGTTTGGAGACATGTCCACACAACTCTGCTGCTGGCATCTCAGAAAGCAACAACTTAAAAACAATCATTTAGACTTAAACCCATCTAATAGCTGTCTAACAGAGCATCAAAAGCTTTGTCACTTGGTTTATGTGAATTTAATACCAGCTTATTTTGGGCACAAGTTTCACGAAACATCAATAAAATGACAGGCACTGCATCGCACCCCCAGTAGAAATGAATTACAGGGATTGTTCCACTCAGTTGAGTGGATAATTCAGTCAGTCGACTCAAACTGGACAATTTGTCTTCTCTTGTTGTTCCCCTCACAGCTCTCTTTCTCAATCGCACATTTGTTGTCAACCTCAGCAGCAAGCGAGCTGAATGAATCGACGCTTCCACTTCTCAGTAGTGACTGCGATGACCATCGACGCAGGAAGTGTAACTGTTCCTGGTGGATGTAAATGTGACTTCCTGATTGCACAAGTTTGTAACCACAAAGATTTCATTTTTTTATTACTATTCGATGGGAGAGGGCGGATGTTTTTGTCACTTTTGTGACTGGAACAAAGCACGGTCACAGGCTTTGCTCATAAATCCTTTCAAATCTGCAAATTATTAGCACTGGAGTGGAAATTTGACAACATCCTACACAGTTTCAACAAGGAGAAACAAAAACAAAGCACTGACAAATTAATTTAATCAATCCAAGACTGGAATTAAGGACCTCTGGGACAGAACTGTAAAGCATGACACACTGGAAACGAGCAGGGAAGGTTTAAAGTGGGACACAAGATCTGGGTGCTTACCTTGCTTCCAGTAAACAACTATCAGGGAATCAATGAAGCAAAAAGAGAGAGAAAGAAGAAAACTACAATAAGAGCAGAAAAATAATCTCAAGGAAGATGGAAAACCATTCCTACATGCACTAAATGCATATTGCTGATATATTGCTGACCTTTCATGCTACATTTTTAAACTAAAATTTTTTTAGCCTTTTTAGTCAAAGCTTAGCAATAACTTGTAAACATAATCAAACACAACACTGAAAGATCTCACGTGATCTATTTGTGCTCTGAATATGTGTTGGGAATGACTCGCAGCTACAACTGCATCAAACTGGATATCAATATCTGCAAAATTGACTGAGTAGTCCCTCGACACTTCGTGATTCGACTTTCGCACAATTTCAACACGAAACACGATTGACGACAGGGAAAGGCAGACCCCACCCCCTCCTTTCTCTTTCTGAGGCTGTCACAGCAGAGGAGAGACACACAACAGCCTAGCCTGCGTCTCTTCTCTGCTGTGACAGCCTCAGAAAGAGAAAGGAGGGGGCGGGGCCTGTTGTTCCCCATTGTGTCCCAGAGACACACAACAGGCAGGCGCACAACAGACAGCCTCAGAAAAAGAAAGGAAAGGCTGGGGTATGTGTCTGTCTTATACCTGAGTGAGCGGCACAAGCAGCATGGATTGTTTATTTGAAATAATCAAGCGCGAACCGAGCCTTTAGGAACGAGAGCAGGAACAAGAATGCTGGATACTTCAGGCACGAGGCGATCAGACATTATGGAAGGGAGGCAGAGACTGGGGATGGATTAAGAAGAGCAGCGCACAGTTGCAGCAGGAGGGAGACTGGGAGTGACACAGGTGATGAGCATGAGTGTGACTGTGGCAGAGAAGTGGGCGTGGCAGGTGGCAGACAGCGATCATGACATGCTGTGTTCTTTTAGAGCTTTAGAGAGTTTAACCATTGCAAGAGTGCGGGAAGGGTTTATAACGGCTTACTATATATATATATATATATATATATATATATATATATAAATACAAAAATAAATATAATGTCCCTATATTTCGCCTATCGCGGGTGTGTCTGGAACGTAACCCCCGTGAAAAGTGAGGGACTACTGACATTTCTTTCTTTCCCGAGACTGATGAGTTGTAGTGGCCATGATAAATCAGGTAGCCTTCAAAAGTTAAGCAGTTGTAAAAATACATCCAGTGATTACTTTCTGAGAGTTTCATCAAAGTCCCTCCTTTGATTATTGAGATATTTTGTTAACACAAACACACACCTTTCAACTTAGTGCAATAAATCATCTTTTGTTCATCACTGCACATAAAACAAAACATTAATAAATAACTTTTTTGGAGACGTTCAGGAAATGTTCATGAATCTGTCATTTTGCTCCTTTGCTGCAGAATGATTTAAAATAAGCACTCCACAGCAAAGACTGCGCTACGATGATCCTCACCTTTTCAACACAGTCGTCAAAGAAAGCCAGGCTGGCGTCTTTGTCGCTAACGAAGGAGCACTCCTCTATGAACCGACTGAACATCTGAGTCTTGGTCATGAGGGAGTAAAACCTCTGGTGGGAGCGGTCTCTGCTCTTCACGAAGCCTGAGAATCAAAACGCCTTATTTACTGACAAACCTGACATTATTATTATTATACAGTAGAAGCAACATCTGTAATGATCAGATCTTTACTTTTCAGGCTCTGACTAAATATTTTCTGGGTCAGTGTGAACACTTCAGCAGTATTGTAGGAAATGAGCTCCCTGCTTTGAAAACGAGATGTTCTTTGCTGCTCCGCTTGCGTAAGAGCCCACAGATGTGCGGGGACATTGTGCTATTAATCACGTTGTTTCGCTGACTTGTCATCCAAGTCTAATTTCCACTGAGGCTTAAGTTAGATAACAAGGACTAATTTAGGCCAAAATGTGAAGCGTTGAGCAGCGTTCAGACCATAACAGAATTAAACCACAGCAATAACTTGTCAAGCTTCATAATTACATAAATTGGCAGGACAATGTGGTTTCTGAAGCTGTTCCTCATGTACTTTGATGGTTATTAAAGTTAAAATCATACACAACCAAAAACTGACTAAAATTATGATGCAAAACATTTCTTTACGTCTTCACTGGATTCATGTGATGTTTTAAGATGATATTAGCATACCTTGTAGATCAAAAAGCGAGCTGACATCTGTCGTCTTCTCAGACGGAGCTTGAGTGATGGGCTGCAGATAGGAGCGGTAGCCTCGCAGGATGGCCGCCATGAACCGGAGAAAGGCCTCCTGGATCTCCAACTCCAGCGTGTGAAGGCTTTTCCCTCCGTAAAGCTCACTGTCAGTCATTGTGTGGTCCATCTGCATATCATCGCGGTTTAACTGACCACCTGAAAGCGAAGCAGAAGATGAATTCGAATCTGATAACAAAAACATTTTCAAAATAATTTTTTTTTTTCAAAAATAGTTAAAATCCTCTAAAGATAAAAAAAAATCTCTAATGATTTCACAGCAGCTGTCACAAAGCTGCTTCCTAATTAGCCTCTCCAGTACAACATTATATTTAAAATGATTTTTTTGTGCTGTGATAGTACCTTTTTATAAAGTGACAAGTCATGTGAAGAAATAAACTTAAATTCCCTAATTAGAAAAAAGTAGCATAACTGACTAAAAGCTTAAAGTACCGTAGCAGAAAGGTAACTAAATTAAAAGTAATATAAGAAGACAAAAACAAAGCAATTATGATGAAGCAGATTTTGTAGTGAACAATGTTTTTAAAATATATTAACGGATCCCAATGTATTTTTATGGGGAAATATTAGTAAATAAAATAAAATAATTTGAAAAGTATAAAAGTTACAATAACAAAAGGTTTAAACACCCATTTCCTAAATGACATGAACTTTTGATAGATGGATAGATAATGCATGAAAAAGTAGTTCAATTGCAAAAACCATACAGAAAAACAAAACAATACACAGAAAAACAACAGTGTGATACCCACTTAGGCTAGCCCTTTAAAATGCTAAACATGTAACATTTTAGTTCAGTTCTTGTTTTTTTAGTGTCACCGATCAATCGTTGTATTTCAATTTTATGTTTTGAAATGCTTGTGCTCCAGCATCAACGTGTGGCATGGAGGCTGCACAGCTGCAGAAAGAAAAGCTTTGCAGAGAGTGGTGAAGGCTGCACAGAAATCTGTCGGAATCAGCCTCCCCACCATCACAGACATCTACACCTCCAGATGCAGGAAGAGGGCCACCTGCATCATGAAGGACCCCACTCACCCAGCACACACACTTTTTGCCCTGCTCCCCTCTGGCAGGAGGTTGAGGAGCATTAAGGGTAGAACCACTAGACTGAGGAACAGCTTCTACCCTGTGGCTGTTAGACTCATGAATATCTAACCAGAAAAATCAATGTAAGAAAAAAATGAATAAATAAAAATCACTGTAATGTCACTTTAATTGGTGAAATGTGACTTATCTGTGCTGCTGATTATCCATGCTGCTGATTATCCATGCTGCTGATTATCTCATGCTGCTGTATTCATTCGTACCCATCTGTTCACCACAGACTCATGTTCAGGCTGCTGTTGTTACGCCATATTATTTTACACTATTAGTGTTTAGCGCATATCTTAGATCTTTTAGCGTACTGTTTGGCGTTTGTTTAGCGTATATCTTAGTGTAGATCCTTATTTACTGTTTCTTTTTATACTGTATATTTTTGCTATTTTTGGTTGTAACTGGGACCCGTGCACATACTTTCTTTCCACCTCATGCACCACGTGTGACAGAAATGACAATAAAATTTACTCGAGCTTGAATTTATGGTTTGACATACTAATAATTAACAACACAGTTTCAACTTGCAAATAAACAAACAAATAAACAACTACAGGGTTAAAAAGAAGATTGGGAACAATTTTGTTCACAGCATCTCCACCCTAGTCCAAACTGTCCTCATCACAAGACCTCCCATAATTCAGCACAAATCACAAAACTTTTTTTTTTTTTTACTGTAACACTGAGCTCACATTTCTAATAAAAATATCCATCCTGGCTGACTCAACAGACTCCTGTAGGGAACTAAATTATGCATGAAAGCACTTTGGAGAATGACACAGCATCAGACTGGACTCACCCTCGGTGAGCTGCTGGTGGAGCTTATTCAGGGCATTCAGAAGATGTTTACAGGCTCTCCGGGGCAGGATTTTCCACGTTAATGCCTTCTTGTCATCTTTCCTGAAAGAATGATTTTATTTTTATTTTTATCACAGGGGAGGGCAGTTGAGAGAAACTGTAAAAAAGATAGAACGGATTCACTGACATCAGCACTGACAATTTAATATCTCTGCAGAAGTGTTGATGTGGAGGCTGTGTGTCCTTTATACACTGAAAATATTTCACATTCCAGCTCGAGCCACTAAATAAGAGAGGCTCTCACTGACAGATACTGATAACCTTGGGAGATAACTTAAAGACCGAAGCAACATAAAACCAGTGAGAAATGATTTCTGGCGTTGTGAAGTTGTTAGACGACTTCTATCAGAAATAACTTACTGGGAGATGGTGTTGGTGTCCAAATCAACACAGCTAATATCAGCTGGAGGCACATAAAGGTCAAAGTATCTGGAGTCCAAACCCACAATAAAAGGACACGGTGCACTGAGCACATCTGCCAGGGCCAGCGGGCACAGAGGGATGTACGGGCACGGCCAGTGGAAGGGAAAGATCATCTGGAAAGCAGGGCGGGATCATCAGAAAACTACATTTTTATACTTAGTCTGCAAAATGTTCACTTCTCATATCTAAGTGTTTTAGTTATAGGCTATTTTGAAATAAGGTGGTATCCTAAATGGTTTTCTTTGATGTAAGTTTCTGTATATTACTTGATTAAAGATGGAGCCCTGTCTCTTGCCTCGTCCATCCCAGCTCACAATCACATTAAAGATCCCGTTTCTTTAGAGCCATTATCATGAAAAAGAGCAATCGGGGACTGGAAGACTCACAGACACAAGGGCTTCGGTAACACTGGTGAGCACCGCTGGACGCAAGGAATGAACCAGGATCTTGTGCTCCGTGACGGCCAAGACAAGCAGAGTGACGGCGTTCTTCGGGCCCAGGTTCAGTAGTAATGTGGAGAGGCTCCCACCGCTGATGCACAAAGATATTTAGAAAGGAACATTTAGAACTTCGGCAAAGACTCTTGCTGCAAGGATATGAATTTTAATTAAGTTTATTTTTGTTTTATTACCTAAGAGGCAGCGGGGAGGACACAGGCTGGCTCAGTATGAGACTGTCATGTGGAGACAACTGTGGAAGACAAACATACTTTAGCTTGTAGCATTACCGGTATGTTTAATGTCATGCAGCTCAAACTAAATGAAAGTTAAAAGGACAGTCTGGTCATTTTTGAAGCAATGCTCTGTCAGATCAGTAATGAATACCTTATAAGCTGTGACACAGTCATAGAGCACTGAGTGTGGCAAAAAGGACATGTCTTTGTCCAGGTTAGGCTAATGGCTAGCTAAACAAGGGCCAGTTTTTACTATTTTTTAAATTGTTTTAAGGATTATGAAAAAACTCTTTCTCAAAAATGACACATCAGCGCAAAAGAACACTACATTAGCTAATAATAAACCTCTGCACTTTTATATGACACTGTTGGTTTAGTTAGTTTTTGCTTCCTCAACCAAACAAAGTTCGTGTTACAAGCAAATGTGCTGAGCGCAGAACGCTGTGCGCTGATGGTGCTGAGGCTGCAAACACATCATTCTTTGTAAGATGAGTGAACTCTGAGACTGATACTGATCAGAGGTTTAACATCAGCTAACATAACACTCTTTTGTACCAGTATGTTGTTTTAGAGAGAAGCTTGAAAACTGATTTTTTTTTTTTAATTGCTCATTTGGCTAGTTGCTGTACAGCTGTCATTTCTAACCCGAACCTGGAGCCCAGCCTGGCCCGACCCGGACTAGGGCCGGGCCATAATAATGGGCTTAATGTGTGGGCTGGGCTGGTGTTGGGCTTTTTATTGCTTCAGCAGAAGTGTGTGACTGACAATCCAATTATATGGCAACAAGGCTTGCCATACATTCACCTGCCACACACGGCAATTTGACCGCGCGCTGACCTGTCTTGAAAGATGAAAAAAAAAAGTTAATTTAAAGTAAAGAAACACATTCATACAAATGAGACTTCTTTGTTCTTTCCTTTAGAAGGTGGTGGTGTAATTTAAAAAAGATTCAGCTGCACGCAGCGGACACGCGCGGCTGACGACCCAAACAGGTGAGATCTCAAAATATCCGACATGTCAGAGCAGGGTCCGTGTCTGAATAATGCAGAATGCAGGCCGAAGCAGGGATTTAATGCACTTTCACGGCCACGAAAGGACAAACAACCCCTCAGCTCTAATCTTCTGCTCTTTTTATTCAGCCGTGTGCGTCCGCCGACCGTTAATAACAATATAAGCAGTCAAAGCTTAAATAAAAATGTCTGGTTTTTTTTCAGGGTAGGACCTGTTATTACTGTTAATTCGTCAGGTGGGGTTTGGAAATTATGGCTACAAGCTGTGGCCGGGTGGGATTTTTTGGGACCGAATGCAACTGTAGATGTTAGCAGCCTGGAGGAAGACTTCTGCCCTTCTTCCTCTGTGTTTTGAGACTGATTTCAAGGTGGAGTTGACAGAACATCACTTTAGAAAATGACCAGAATTAGACTTTTTCCACCACTCATTAAATTTAAAGATGACCTGCACAAGGATGCGTGGTCTCTGAATGGAGGGAAATGGGACGTGTTGCATGAAGTGGGAGATGTGCCTGTGGGAAAATAAAAAAAATAAAAACCAGTTAGTAACAAGACAAACATTTAATCAACTCTAAATCAGTGTATTTGTTAGACTTCAGTCAAGAAAAAGTAAAAATTTGTTAAATGAGCTAACTTTTCAATGGGAACTGCATGTGGTCCAGAGATGGAATATCTGTAGAGGAAAGTGAGAAAGCTCCTGAAGGACTGGAAGAAGGGCCAGTGGGACAGTAAGCAGATACTCTTGTTGTTGTAAATGTTTCTGGTCCCATCAGGTCCAAAATCAGAGCTTGGCAGGCCGAGCTGTGAGCGCTGACGCTCCGACAGGCTCTCCTCAGGGTAAGACTCATAAAATTGGATAGCTGCTCCATACACCTGCACGCAAAAAGATCACAAAGATGTTCAGAATAAAGAATATCAATCCGAATGAAAAGTGTTAAAAAAAAAAATAATAAATTTTTTTTTTTTAATAAAATAATTGAAAAAACACCAGATAGTACCTTAGATCTTTGAAATAAATGCATCCACACAAAATATTGTGATCAATTTTCAACATCACTGATTAATTAAACCCTTGTAAGTTTTTTTGAGGATCATTCTCTCCAATAAAAATGATAAATGAGTCTGGGTTTCAAGTACCATGGGACCTGCCTGCAGACAAGAGGTTACAGGGAAGAAGAAATGAGCACTCAGGCAGTCAAACTTGCACACCAGCCTGAGCCCGAGTGCTGCATGAGACATCTATTATTCAGAAGATGAGCTGCACAAGAAAAGAATATTTTATGCTGCATTGCTTTCAAAGAACCAACAGGCTTTTGGGTCCAAAACAGCCTACAGACCATTTTGATTCCAGTCAGAGTTTAGAATTTGACAAGCATTGTCTCCTTTTTAAAGATACTGCTACAGTTTATCAACAAGCAAATCCATAAGGGATCCCGATGCGCTGTGAGGGGCAGACGTGGGAATGAAGATGGATAAGCTAACTGAAATGAGGCAATAAAGGCAGAATGTGCGAACTCCAATATGATGCAAACTTCAGGGGAGCCCCTTAACTAATGATGAAGCTTAGTCTAAAGAGAGATTCCTTGGCATGCAAGTTCAAGAAGAATGCGGCTTCTGATAATGATGATGTAGAGAGGCGGCTGTACCTTTTCCCCAGAGGACCCCGTCAGGACAAATGTAGAAAAAACAGGTAGTGAGTGCTTGGTGTGAGCTGGCCAGCACTCAATCATGGCCCCCATGGGCAGGCAGAACATGGGCACTGACTCGGGCAGTGGGAATGACTCATAGTCCTCTTCTGGGTACCTACACAGCAAACCTGGGCACAACACAGTCAAAAGTTACGTGGAGACATTGTTTGTAGCTCTTTATTAATGACACGTATGTGCAGCTAAACGTTTCTTTTTTTACCTGCTTTGTATGCGACTGTGTTTGCTTTAGCAAGAGACTTCTTATAGCAAAGGTAGACCGAGGACCCCCACTGGAAGATGGATTATCACAAACCATGACAGATTAGTGGAACCCTACATCCTTTGTGTTCAACGCATATGGATGTTTCTGGAGCTCCATCTCACCATGCTGCTGTTGAGGTTCTTGTCCACCTTGCAGAAGGTGTGAGGGGGCATCTCCCCCTTGCCAGGAATAAGGACGCAGACATCGGTCACAGCCAGGGAGGTGTGAGGCTGGCTCTTGGGAGCGCGGCGGTACGTGATGTAGATGCGCTGAGACGATGAACTGCTGATGTTGGCGGGACGACCTGAGGGCGTTGTCTGGACGATGTGGCATCCAGGCTTCAGTTTCTCCTTCCACTCATACAGAACTCTGAAAGATAAGTTTTAAATAATATCTTGGTGAGCCCTGGAGAGCTTTGATTAAAAGAAAAAATAGAGAAACTGCCAGAGGATATATGTTTAAGAGCAGATTACAGTGACCCAAGATGGAGCTGTGATTAGTGGTGCTGGGTGAGCAGAGGGAGTGAGGATTACTTCTTACCCGAGATCTGTCAGTGGAGGCTTATCCCTGCCTCTCTTGTAGCACAAGAAGATCTGCGGGCCCCTGAGGCTGGCTCCGTTAAGCTCAGCAGAGAGGCCTGAGGGCGTGCTCTCCACGCAGGTGAAGCCCGGGGGCACCTCCTCACCAAGGGAGCGAATCACCACAGCAACGTCGGTGATGGGGGCTTTGGGTTTAACAGACTTGGCGCCGGTGTCATCGAAGTGCAGGTCCTCCTCCAGAGGCTTGGATGAATCGGTGAGGCCGGCAACCACAAAGTAGTCGGCTACTCGAGGCCCTTTATCCTCCATCATTTCCCATTCCCACACTGTGCTCTGGAAATCGTAGAAAATGGGGGTGGGGCGCTCAGTTATTTATTTTATTCACAGAGGAAAAGGGCCTCCAGCTTTCCAAGAACATGAGTTGTGCCTTCATAAGTTAGATAAAAGTGTGTCTCCTTCAAAATTCCTGGTAATTTCATTAATGCTGAATAAAGTGTTGAAAAGGAGACACAATGAAGCAAATAAATAACTCATTTAAAAAGTGCACATGATAAAAATAAAATAAAATATAATGAGAGCATCTGGAAGTATTTCGCATGCATTCCTGCCTGTATTTCATAAAGAAATATGGGAACATTTAAGACCAATGACCTTGATACAGTATGTGCCATGAACGATTACGTAAAATAAAACGCATGCCTCTGAGAAGAAAGAAGATAATAAAGCATCTTTCAGAGGGAAACAGAACTGTGAGATGAAGAAAGGAGGTGGTTAACACTTTTAGCTCATAAGGGCAGACACCATTTATTCTGGGCTCAACAATATCATGATAAATGAAAGGAATCGAGGGAGCGCCCGTGAATCAGATTGTTTTATCACATAGTGCAAAGCCTCAGCCTCTGGAAGTCCTCAGCTCCATTGCAGCTTGTTCTAGCTGAAGAGCCTGCTTTATCTCGTTTGGCATTTCCCCCACACTTACTCACAAACAGCTGCTTGTTTTTTCCATCACTGTGATGAATGTGAGTTAGTGTAAAGTGTTCCACCTCGTCTGTGTTCAGTGTGCCAGTTGGTGCACAGAAAGCTGGAGCCATGCCTCGCCTACTGACAGACTTTGTTTTCTGTTTGTTACAAAGCTAATGGCCCCGTTTTGTTTCTCGCTGTCGATTAGAGTTGCCGACTTTCAAAAACTGAAATACAAAAACACTGACAGGACTAGCTGGTGCAAAGGGACGGGGTCTTTTTTGTTTTGGTCTAAATATTTGTGAGGCTCAGTTTCTGATAGGAGTGATGTCATCAAAAAAAAAAGCAACAACTGAACATTTACCAGGCAAACATGTGCCCACCCGCTAGGCCTGTCACGATAACAAATTTGTGCTGGTCGATTAATTGTCTCAGAAATTAATATTGTTTGAAATTTGACAATAATTAGTAGTGTCAAATTTAAGAAGACATGTTGGTTAAATTTTGAGTGTAGTACCTTTTTTGACCACTGGATCACAGTATAAGACTGTTTGAACTGAATGATGGATAGTGAGGGAGCGAGCAACGTGTCTCTTTAAAAAAAATGGGAGGGAGGCCCCTTGACATGACATGGGCTGCCTCTCGATCCTGTTTTCCAGTTCTCAAAAAGGCGGATGGTCTGTGTGGTTTGAGCTCTTTAGCATAGCATTTGTCACACAAAACTTTTAATAAATAAATTTAAAAAAATCAGTAAACAAGTTCTCAGCTTCTTTTTGCAGAGAAAAACAACTTTTTACACAAAGGCACGGGTTTCAACCGTGAATTTGGAGCTTCGACAAGACAGAGGTTTTTTCCCCGAGGTCGGTCTGTTAGCTTAGCTCGTAGCTTAGCTTCTCAGCTTAGCTGCTTTAAACAATACAAAAACGCGATTTTTGGATGATTTAAACAGATTTTAAAAAGAAAGGGAGGGATCATTGAAGAACCTTGAGCCTTTTTTTATCCAGTGTCCAACAAAAAAGAGCGACACGAAGAAATGATAAAGCCGATAAACAAAAATGGCGTCGATAATTTTCATTTATCATGCGATTAATTGCATTATTGTTTATTGCGACAGGCCTACGACCCGTGTTAGAAGAGTTAAAACAACAACAAAAATCAGTGTTGGTTCATCTACATTAGGCTTTTAGCTAGCATTTTACTACAATTAGCTTTTAGATAACCTTCTGCTTCTTAGCTTTTAGCTAGCCTCTTGCTACTTTTATTTAGCACGTTGCTACATTTAGCTTTCAACTAGTGTTTTCTTTTAGCTAATGCTTTACTTCTTTTAGTTTTTAACCTTTTGCTACTAATAGCTTCTAGTTATCATTTAGCTATTTTAAGCTTTTCGTTAGGGGTTTTTCTCCTTTTAGCTACACTTTAGCTACTTTTTACTAGCTTACCATAGATACCATGTTTTTGGCACATAGCTAGTGTTTTAAATATTTTAATTTTTCACCTGCATTTGGCTACTTTCAACGTATAGCTACTTCCTTCTTTAAACTAATCTTTTCCAGTTTTAGCTCTTACTCTCACAAAATACAGTTTGATTGTGTTTGATATATGCTGCCACTTTAAATCAATAGTTGTCTAATTTAATAAATATACATCAGCTTGATCCATATACTTCTCATAGCTTCAGTTATTATTTTTCTGAAGTAAAAAAAAAAAGTTTTACGTCTGATTAGACAAAATCCTTGTTTCACCTGTTTCATTTACCATCTAGAATCAAATGCTTTAAAAAATAATTAACACAGTACATTCCCTAACAGCTTAAGAAGAAACATATGATTAGTTTCAAATATGAGACAATAGCCAAATGATAACCCTGCTGTAGATGTGAGATGGCATAGACATCAGACATCTCATCACTTCCTGGGACAGAAGGTGGATGAGACTGAGATGAGGACAGTCAGTTCCACAGTCGGGTCAAGAGATGAGAAAAACTCACCAATTTAGGACCAGTCAGTCAGAAATCATTCAACGTTTAGATTTTTGTCATTCATAAAAGCCTTCAGATGCTTTTACCAACATCATTCAGCCCTGAGCGTTCAATGTTTCATAATCTTGTTCACTGCAAACCAGAAAGTGATTTTATAAATCATGACTCATCAACATCAGGCTGCTCACAGTCTGACATTTGTTCTTGTCCAGCGCTTCATGCTTTCTTTTAACAGGTTGTTAATTGTATACTATGTTTAGTTTTATGGAGAGTCTGAATATTTTATATAAAAGCAGGGTTTTAATAAATATAATAAATTAAAAGCCTATGGGAATTAATTTTCTAATGTTAATTTCCAGCTTTGGTAAGCCAGGGTCAGAGTGCCAAGGCCCCCACCTTCAGCTACCCCTCATGGCACTATGGACCCAACTTGTACGGCCCCTCCTGCAGGTGGTGGGCCCACAGGACAGGAAGGCAAACCCATGTTCAGATGCGATCACCAGGCCCCCTCCCCCAGGCCTGGCTCTAGAGTGAGGCTCCAGTAACCCACGTCTGGGCAAGGGGCATCGAGCTTCTCGTTGTTTTCTGTCCATACAAGTGATTTGAATCACTCTTTGTCTGGTCTGTCACCCAGGACCAATCTGCCTTGGGAGACCCTACCAGGGGCAATTTCCCCCGACAGCATAGCTCCTAGGATCATTCAGGCACACAAACACCTCCACAAGTTTCTGCAGTATTGTGCACTGTGTGCCGGTCCGTTGTGGTGAAGAGGAAGCCGAACTGTTAGGCAAAGCTCTGTTTACCGGTTGGTCTACGTTGCTACTCGCACCTATGGCCACGAACTCTGGGTAGAGACCAAAAGAACGAGATCCTGGGTACAGGTGGTTGAAATGAGTTTTCTCTGCAGCTCCAAATGTGGTTCCAATCTCACTGATCTTCTGCAGCCATATGTCCCACCGTGCTCTCTGAGGTCAGCAGACCAGATGCTTCTCTCAGTCCCAGAAACCCGTCGTAAGCTCAGAGGTGACAGGGCTTTCTCTGTTGCAGGTCCACGACTGTGGAATGAGTTGCCACTGAGTGTCCGGCAGGCTCCCACACTCTCAGTCTTTAAGTCTCGCTTGAAGACCCACTTCTATTCTCTTGCCTTTAACACGGTGTGATTTGTTTTGGTCCGGTCTGTTCTCTACTCTGTTGGCCATTTTAGTTAGCTTCTGCTGCTATTTGTATCTGTATTTCTATTTTATGTTTTCCTGTCCGCTGTGCATGTTTGTTTTCTTTTGCACAGCACTTTGGTTGGCCTTGTTGCTGTTTTAAGTGCTCTATAAATAAATTGGTATGGTATGGTAATCAGGTGTTTATTTTAGAAAGTACATGCTAAATCAGGTTCTCTGTTTCCTCTCAACATTACTATGTCAAAAAGCTAAAAGAATATATTCCAAAACAGCAATAAACACACCTCAGTTCCTTTTTTTTTTTTTTGGAGACATGTTTTTCCAGCTTTCAGCTTAAAGATTTGCACATTTTAGAATGATATTCAATTCGCAGGTTTACCTTTTCCCTTGTGGGCGTTGCATTATTTTAAAAATGAGCAGGATTCAAGATGTTTGCTTCTTGCTTAGTGTTCTGTTTCCCAAAATCGGACGTCTTTGGAAACAAAGCTGTGTTTTCTCTGACATATTGCACCACTCAGTTTGAAAAAAAAAACACTTATAAAGGAAATGATGCAGTGATTAGCACCAGCAACGCACTTTAATAAAATAATTATTAAGGCTGTTCTGTTCGGCTGATTTACATCTTTGCTGTGATGTAACACTTGAACCGCTCGGTAAAATACCTGGTTGTGACGTTATCTCGATCTCAGCTGGACAGATGTGTCATACACTGGAACGGTTCTGGATTAAATGTAGACGTAATCTCTGGTTTCAGCGACAGAGAAATCCACCACGTCTGTCCCTCCCCCTCAGCAGAAAGCAAAAGACTAAAATTATATCTAATCCTCTCCATAGCAACAAAATTAAAACGGAGCAGTGAAGTGCAGATGGAGTGTTTCTCCCTCTGATGCTGCGAGCTGCAAACATTATTCTGGTTATGTTGCTGCAGAGGAAGTATCAGTGTTTTTATCCTTCACAGTAAGAATTTTATGTTAAATCCCAAAACGTTTCACTGTGTCAAAGACCCAAACATCCATAAACCCCCTTTCTCTCTTTTAGTTCATAAAATGCTGTTCATGATTGATTCTTTTTTTTTTTAATGTTTATTTTTCTAGCATTTCACTGGTGGATCAAGTAGATTAAAATGATGGTGCAAATATTTTCAAGTAAGGTTCTGTGGAAAGATTATGAACATTTATGTCACGTTCAGTTCATACTTGGATGTTAAATTT